GAAATGCAAATGCATTACCTTTTCTACGGAACAAGTCGCCATACATGTTCCAACCCCAAACCTGGAGGACCAGGAGACTGTGTTCGTCAGACCTCTAACCATTGACCAACCTGGTATGAGAGACTCTGTGAGTGTCGCGCGGACACCCCCCAGTGTAGCTCAATGGGTCGCCGAGGTACACAAACCGCCACACCACGATAAGGTTCAGTCTCTTCGTGACGGTGGTTACTTACTGGTGGTTACTGACCAAACATGACTAAACGTGACAGCCTTCTGACCCAGTAGTTCGAACTTTCGGTTTAAACTCCTCCAAACCCTCATGGATCAGTGGAAGGACCGTCATGGTGGTTAATTCAGGTCGAAATTCTAACAGGATAGTTGCCGTCGATGTGCGTGACTGACAGTCAAACTCATGCTTCCCATTCTGGTCATCATCATCGCAATCAATGATACTGACCCGAGCTTAAGAGGACTGCTTTGTAACTTCTGTGAAATCATACCAAATTAAAAATCCGGCAATAACCAGGAATTAGTTTGGGTTGAACATAGCACACTTCCTTTACCAGTCTCCCTGGAGGAAGTTCAGATGCCCGCTATTCTGTTTACCGAGCCTGGCAGTTTTCTCAAAAGATTTCGTCCCAGTCTTGGGAATATCATCATCGATTGCATATTGGTACTGCCTCAACGAAACGCTTGCAAACAAATTGCCAAGCTCGCAGAACAGATCAGCAGCCTTCCGATCTACAGATAGTTGACCCACCGAAACATCGACATTTCGATACGCTGTGAACAAGCTCCTTTTAGTGATCCTACCTACTACAAAATTACGTCTCATCAATCACAACTTATTTATCGCCGCTTTCGGTGCGCCTGATTTCATCTTAGGTTAGGATTCCCCCTTGTAAACTAAAGTCGCTGAAACAATACACCCAGGAATATGCTGTAGAAGCTGGTAGACCTTTTCTAACCCGAAAAAGTTAATTAAATCGATTGAGAAAAACAGTCACACGACCAGCCAGAAAAGGACCTAGCTCGGAGAAAACGTTTGCAGTTGTATCACAGTGAAACTGAAAAACGAGATTGGATGCCGTATTGGAACGTAGTTGTCACGTGAAACGTTGTTTGAGAAATGACCCTGATACTCAATCTCGGGCTACTTAGGTAACAAAAGCCAATTGTGTGGGTGACCTCTGTGACAAACGGTTAGTCCCAAGGCCTTGCGGGCAATAATCGATGCCAAGGTCAGCGAGTACGATCCCCACAACCTGCCCCCTTAGATCCTTAATAAGCTTACATCCGTTTCAGACTCACAGTCTGTGATTATTAGCAAGAAGGATTGAAGTGTGGTGGCTTACCAGGTTCTCTGTTGGTCTAATTACTCTGCATAGAAGCATAAGCTGTGAATAGCAGTCCGAACAATGTGCCTCGGCGAAAGTGCTCAACAACAATCCCTCATGGTTAGGTATGAATTGCAGAATTGTTAAGTGTGGAGCCAAGTAACATTGCCCAAAATAGTATTGTCAAGAGTCCAGTGAATTTGTCCTCGAGAAATACAAAATAACCTGACCCTTTGTAAATTAACAGTGAGTTCGCCACTAAGCTCACTTCTTACCGATAATTTTATGGGGCTTGTTGAATACCTCTGCCAGCAAATCCTCAGAACTTCTGGAGATTTTTGCGAATTTCGATCAGCCGCATCTGGTCTTCCATTTTACATCCAAAAAGGTAAATGACTGTCCTAGGCATGCATCTGTCAAGAGCGACCGATGACTCATTTAGGCAATCGATTTACGGAAACCGACTTGAACGGGGCTATACACTCACTTTAACAACTTTGTCGTACTACAACTCAAAGAAATTTAGTTCGGTGTCCTGCTGATACGTTGAGAAAAGCCTGCACTCGCTAGATAGCATACTTCGTGAAAGCAACTATCCGGACAGGTTCATTGTGAAGCACCTGACTAGTGCACCCATGAAGACCAAACCGGTCGCAGCCGAAGGGAAAACCTCGCTTGATCAGTTTTTCGTTCAGGGGGAACGGGGCCGCAGACCAATACATGTCTACATAACACTCTTTGGAAAGCCATCCCGATCGCTTCATTCAAAGTGTGCTTCCCGGTTCCTCAGCTGATGATTCCGCATCTCAAAGAAAAGCCGCCGCCCACCTACTGTTGTACAGATGAGTAAGTACGGCGCGTGAATTGGTAGTTACGAAATAGAATAATGCAGCATAACCAATTTCGGCTGACAACCTACTAAGATTCCTTCAATTTTAACCTGATCACGGCTAAAGCGATTGTGAATAGCACACGTAACCCGAGTTGGTGCGTTCGTAGGCGCCCTGAATGCCTCATGGTCCGCTCAATTAACGCTGATTACTCAGGACACTTGATCGTTAAATAAACAGCTTTCACACTTTTACCTTCAGAATCCACTTTGCCCTTGTTTGGCCTGTAAGGATCACTCTCTTTTAGTTTTGTAATTGCACGATCCGAGGAAGAGATCGTCCTAAATTTCACAAGCGCTATAATGCGTGAAATCAATGGTGACTTATAGAAACACAATCAGAAAACTTCCGTGCGACAGACTTTCCGTGTAATACAGCTGACTGATATGTTTACTGTGTCGGCACATTCTACGATTTGCTTGAGAATCGAACCGATTGGTATTTCCCAGGATTTTGCTCAACGATGTGTTACTCTGTCAAGGAAAATTGCACTACGCATCAGTTGGTACTTTATTGGGACGTTAGTAAAGTGGTACAAAATAAACGATGTATCAGAGTTGTATGAATGGCGTCAAAATATCGATAATCTCATAAGGCAGTAAGATAAATCCTCCATAAAACAAGGAATCAATCAAGGTATGGTCGCCAAACGGAACCTGTTGAATCACTGACGTCTGACAACTTGGGTATGACAGTCTTTAGATGAAACGGACTGAAAGCACTTGAAGTGCGGGGAGCACCGAAAAGAATGCTTGACCGCTGGTTCATCAACCGGTTCGGATATATACCAGTAGCACATACCGGTGACAAAAAAGTATCCTGAAAATTTGGGAGTAAATGTCCACCAGACTGGTCAAGCGATCGATCAGAGTTGTAGATCCCACTATCCAGTGAATCCGTAATGAAGGGTAGAAATTTGTGTTTCGGAGCTGAATTGCATGTTTGGTTTTGTCTCATCGGAGTAAGTCTATGTGTGTTGCTTGGTCGAATTGCAGAAACATCTTCACGGAGAGGCTGGATGTGGTCAAGTGATTCATTGTTCTGGTTTTCCTTCTGTTCTGACTCCTCCCATCTTTTACCGATTGCCTGAATGGACATTGTGTTCTGACCGGTGTGGTTGGATTCTGGTGTATTTTTATCCCGAAACTGGTCGCTCAGCTGTTGGATACGTAGTTGAATTTCTGAAATCAATGAGGAAATTCCCCGTGAATCTATTTTAGGGGAAAAAGACCTTTCAAAGGATCAGTCTACTACTTGTCTATCCCTAACTATCCATTGTCTCCGATAAACTAGCCAAGGAAATGCTGTTTTATCCGACAGTAAGCCACTAATGACTCTGGCTAAATGTCAGTGTCAAAGAAAATCACATTCACTACCTGTTGTGGCCACGCGTTCACCAGCTTAGGGGTTGGCAACGATTCTGGCTCTGTGATCATTTCGACAACATTGGTCGTTTGTCTATGTATGGTAGGACAGAAGTTCGTGTAATTTGCTGATGACCGACAGGCATGTGGTTAATGAATCCAAGGTAGCTTTTTTGGGTGACCAGCCCTAGTCAACGGGGTAACTGAAATGAATCTGTCATTAGCTCACAGTAGTCTACGCAATCCATGTATCGCCTCATTGGTTCAGGAGTTGAATCATCCATCAGAGACTTTGCAAATGACCCTCTCACATAGTCTATACAACTTGGAATTATAACCACACAAACATTTGATACTAATGACATAGCCCGTAATCCCAGAATACTGAATGAACCGATAGGTTCCCACGGTGATTAGAATCTTAACTTCAAAAAGGGAGATTTTGAACATTCTAAAATCAGGTGTCCCTCAAATCCTGAATGCTGTACTTTAGGAACATGGTGTTTTCATGTTCATACTTATTGGACGAAAGGCTGCTGAGGTTCGGTTAGTGGAAATTTCGACGCAAACAATCCGCCGGTTTGATTTCGACCCACCTATTCTATTGAACTTTCCGCCAACAAATGAATGGGTAAAACAATTTACGCCACCCTTGAGTCGCCTTACCCTCGGCGTTGAGGATAGCTGGAGGGAGTTCCTTTTCGAAGGGCAGAATCCATACCGATGGAAGAAAGAACAACACAAGATTTGACGCGCCGCATGTCTAAGTGGTTTTACTATTCGCCGACGATCGGTAAGCCACGAAGGAAAAAGCTCACTGGTCGAAGCTATGCTGGTCCGGTTTCCACACTTATTTCCTCATTATGGGCATCTCCGTATAAAAGAACAGCAAACAATCGCAGTTTTACACTTCGGTTGTTCAAAAAGACTTGTGGGACCGTAGTAAAAACTACTCTAATTATAAAAATCTAACGGGTGAGCAACAAAACGTATACGGTTGTGTTCGTGTTCAAAACTAACGCGCTTTGCATATTGCCTGTCGAAACTGCCTATATTGTTTTACGCTAAAGCTGATCACTCCCTTCGGAGGTTCCGCAAAGACTGTCTGTGCTCGATCAACGCTTTTTGCGGAGCACTCCAGGATTTCGGTGTATGCAATCTCCAAATAAGGGATCCGGAAAGTAATTACGTCCGTTCAGTGACATCCCAACGAGACAATTCTTTCGGAAATGCTTTGGATATCTTGTCAGTTCAGGACTAGAAGGGCAACTGGGGTAACCTGAAAATCGCACCCAATTCCTCCTCGGTCAGCCTGCCTAGATGAGATCTCAAAGGATGAATGGACGTGACTTGGAAGCTTGGCTAAGATGGCTTAGGAATGATTCCACTGATGTATCATTATTTCCAACGCTCAAGTCGTAAAATCCGCAACTCGGTAGGCAAACTTCGGAATTCGTGAAATTTGCACGTTCCTTCCAACGAACTAACTGCAATGAACTATGAGTAACCCATAGACAAAAAATCAGGATTCAGCTCGACATACCTCTATGGTTAAGGTGCGAAATCTCTTGTCTGAAAGTCTGTGGTTCGAAACCAAACTCAGCATCTCGACTATTCCTGTCTAAGCATTAACCTGACAGTTTCTCAGCCCTCGTACTTCTTTCACGTAGCAAGGCAGGTAGGATCCCAAAAGGTGTTGCAGCCTGACAATTATTCAGTCTTTTGTTCATTACTCAGACAAATCACTGTGGGGCTTTTGAAGTTATTGCATGATTGATTGGTAGATTGTTTCTTGCATGCTGTGTATAATCCCTTCTGTAGATTGCGCTACGAGATACACAGCAGATCCAGGAGGCATACAGACTAATCCAAGAAGTTTGTTCGCTACCGGAACTACACCGTTACCTTGCATTTCCTCAACGTGACTGAATATCCCTATCAACCAAATGACTAACATTTTGATTTTACTCAATGCGTACACTTCAAATAGTATCCTCTTGTTCACCTTCGATTCAGAGAGCTGATGAACTGCCCGCCTAGCTTGGTATTAGGCTTGCAAACAATTCCCAACCGTCGGTGGGGATGGGTCTGTATACTAGAGCACGATTCAAGGGGTTTTTAGGACTGAGAGTAAACCAACTGAGGTTAGCGACATGAAATCAGTTGGAATATCATATATAT